TATATGAGAAAAGAACTTACCACAATATATATGTACGGAGTGCTTTATAAAAATTTATATCAATTTAGAGTCATCTTTAAACTATTATTATTTACTATGTATAGAGCAGGAAGAAATCTTATAAAACGTTCAATGAGAAATCACGCATTGCAATTTTGAAATGGAAAACACTATTTCCAGGCACCTAGTAATCACAATAAAAACAGTTTATACAACAACTTAGGTCTGAATTGGGTATAACAGTGCATTTGTTTATAACACAAAATATTTTAAAAACAAATTATGAAAAATTCTTTACTTTGCTTATCTCTGAAATTGGCAATTACCATTCAAGAAAAAAATTAAACAAATCACATTTCTTTTTTAGGAAATTGACAAAATATCATCCCTATGGAGATTTCACATTGCAAGGTATACATATTACGAGGTTCTTTTACATCATTTTCATAAAAGAAAACTTCAACACAATTTTGTGAAATATTTAAAAATAGAAATTATCAGTTGATAATGGCATAGATAATGATTAATTTTAAGTTCTAAGTTCTTCAAATATCTAAATGAAAAATCAAAACATACACAAAAGCAAGAAATGAAATTCACATGCTTTACAATTTTTTGACAAACATGCGGATGACATTTTCGAATTTTGAGATAGAATTCTATCAACTGATAAACATGTCTTTTCATATTGACTTCAGATTGACCAATCAGAGAATTACTTTCCATTCACTGCATTGCCCATTTAAATTTGTAGGCAGCCTTGTTGTCAGGCTTGACCTCTTCAGAATATGGTATATGAATTTGACATATTCTTTCATACAATAAAATGTGTGTCTGAATGTTTTAGAAATGTAATAGATTGAGCTGATATAATAAGTAGAAATGTAATAGGTCTCCCGATGACTACCTCTTGCATTACACTTTTATAGCAGAATATACATACATTTTTTGTGCATTTTGTAAAATAAACATAGCATTGAACAGATAATCATTAAGTATTTTCCATATATTTCACTGTGATGATTTTTTTTAAAAATAATTTCTATTCTAAAAGATAAACAAAATAAAATATGTATTAAATAATTATCTTCAATATCACATTCAAACAGCTAATTCTGTCAATTCTAGTACGTATCTACCCTGTTAAGTTAACTGAAATAAATTTCACAAAGATACTAAAAAAAAAATCAGTAAACTTAAACAAGAATCCAATCAGATTGATCCCTCATCAAAATACTGGGAACATGTACAATACAGGTTTTTTAATTTATGAATTTTTATCATATGTACCATAAAAATTTAGATTTAGTCATGACTGTAGTTACATTTGAATGATGATTATATAACAATGACCATCCACTTCATCTAGGGCCATCAGCAAGTCACACATTGTACGCAGGGTCATTTGAAGCAATGTATTTTTCACAGAAAGAGGAATATGTCATGTACACACATTTAGCATCAATGCAAAATGATAACATAACAGTTGGTATGTTTTTACAAGACTCAATAAAATTACAATGCTCGATATTAAAGCTAAGTTCAGTATCCAATTAAGAAAAGTATGTATTTAAAAGTCATATTGTCCATATTTCAATACCACAGAGACTTTTTTCAGGCATTTGGTTTTTCTTGTGTATACAAATTTTGAAGTTCTGTGTTTATCAAATTTCATGAAATTTGTAAAGCATTTACAATTATAGGACTCAAAAAGGTTTCTGGATATCAAGAAGATTACTAAAATTTAATCATACCTGACCACTTTGATCCCTGCCCTTCAGGCCCTATGGCTGATAAGGGTATTCATTTTCATACCACCAACCTGCCATCCAATGATGACAGTTCAAACCAAGTTTCCATTTTTTCCCTTCGGGAAATTACAAATTATATATCCAGAAACAATAGAGTAAACGTCATCTCTTCCAAGGGGTAATGGGTAACTGAGGGGTAAAGGGTAACCGAGGGGTAATGGGTAACCCAGGGGGAATGGGTAACCGAGGGGTAATGGGCAACCGAGGGCTCGGGGAAATGGGTAACCGAGGGGTGATGGGTAACCGAGGGGTAATGGGTAACTGAGGGGTAAAGGGTAACCGAGGGGTAATGGGTAACCGAGGGGTAATGGGTAACCCAGGGGGAATGGGTAACCGAGGGGTAATGGGTAACCGAGGGCTCGGGGAAATGGGTAACCGAGGGCTCGGGGTAATGGGTAACCGAGGGCTCGGGGAAATGGGCAACCGAGGGCTCGGGGAAATGGGCAACCGAGGGCTCGGGGTAATGGGTAACCGAGGAGTACGGTAAACCTTCGGTCAGTTCGAACAAAATTAAATAAATATTGATGAACCTGTTCGGATTATACAAAATTATGCTTCAGAAAATAAGCGTGAGTTCGAACTATCGACAACAATTTCGGCAAAGTGCAAATCAAGTCACAAACATATACCCGACATATTTTCTTCACCGGAGTATACCTCTATATATCCAATGTAAGGCCGATACGTAACAACGACGGCCTGGCATAGAACAATGGCACATTTATAAATGGGTAAAATGATAGTATACTATTTAATTCAATGTTAATTGATCATTAAACTTTCTTCATTTCGTGATATTTACATTCTGTATGCTTAGACCCATTGACAAAAATTACATTCATAAATGCATAACACAGGTGTTCATAGAATCTCAGCACGTGGGAACTGATAGTAACCTGATCACACTGCGTAGTAATACACTACAAAAACTACTCACTCGGAACGACCGACCTAGATGCTTAATTCTTACATCTTAAAATATTATTGAACTGTGCTTTGTGAAATATCCACGTATTCACGTGTCCTGTGCTACAAATAAACATTGAATATGGAACTACATTTTGTTGTGTTATTGTTGTTGACGGTTGCTAAGATCTCTCACGATAGTGTCACATTTCCCCGCGAAAAAACACTGTTCTCGCCACTGCGTTGCACCCGTGTATAAGCAGGAACAAACCCTGTTTATTTGTTTTATTCGTTGTTATATCGATCCACTGAAAGGATTCGTCAATGTAAATATAAGGAATGATATTTATTTTTTCAACATTTATGAGGTCATAACAACAATGGGTTTTTGGACATATTTTACATGAATCGCTAACGCGATTCATTCAATATGTCCATAAACCCATTGTTGTTATGACCTCATAAATGTTGAAAAAATAAAAATCATTCCTTAAATAATTATGATCGTTATTGCGAAGCAGAGGCCCTTGTGTAGGCCCCGAAACAGTACACGTTTCATTTATGACACAAAAGTTAAGACTACCTAGCTTGTATCAGAGACCTAAATATTGAGTCTCTGCGTGGTTAGGTTTTATTTGAATCAGAAACTATTGTATATATTATTTCGTAATGAATGGTCCGTTTAATAAATTGAAAACATAGTCTTCATAACCTGTTGCGTTTACAAAGCGCTACTGTACAGTAAATATAGGTCTATATGTTAGTAAAATTAGGTCAGAACATCAACATGTCTGCTTTAAATTATAAGTGATATAGTCCTAATACCGACCAAACTTTATTTGACACCTTCAAAATTACCCATCGCTAATTGGGACACCTGTGGATTGTTTGGACTTTGACATGAATGCTAATCACGTCACTCACCATGGCTGGGCGGCCGATTCCTACCGCGACATCGTGTCCTGCCCTACCTGGTGTGAGGCACACGTTTACAGGTAATACCCTGATTGGCAATAATTAAGGGATGTCTGGTCGCAATAAAATAATCAAAATGCTTAGTTAACACTGTATTTGACAACACACGGGCGATTTTTTAGCGTACAGCCATACAGCGTGACATCAGTTCGTACTGATCGCATGTTATTTATACATTGTCGGGGCCTAAGTTGAAATTGGCTGTCTCGTGCACGATGTATTTTCCAAACAATGTAAAAAAATGAATCAGCGCTAAAATCTGTGACATATATTTATGGTTTGTCTGTCACAGCTGTACTGCAATGCTCGCACATACAACCCATTACCCTAAACGTGTCTGTTGATCAAAGTATTGGCATTTTTCCGGGGACGATCGCAGCGAGCTTTCAATGGAGTTTGCCGGAAAAAAAATCTTACTTTACGTTTTCATTTGACAAGTTCGGACTATCCGAAATAAGGTCAATCAGAGTTTGAACTATCACTAGCTAGAATATTATTGTTTTATTGAAAAAAATACGTGTTCGAACTATCCGCCGATTCGAACTGACCGGAGGTTTACCGTAATGAAATTCACACTTTTTATAGTAACTTACAATTTTCCATCAAATAAAAGTATTTGATTATATGGATTCTGTTTACAGTACTAAGAAAAGTGTTGAAATTTCAGCTAATTTCACCCATTGCAGCCTTGTCCTTTGGGAACCTAGGAGTAGGTAATCATATATTTCTCAAATTATGATTGTTTTTTGCCATTAAAAGCTGTATATTACTTTAATATATATCGTCAGGACAAAGAAATAGCTTTAATGAAACAAATACTTTTAAATAACAAGGATTTACTTTTTTCTTAATAGTAATATACATTATTTCTGTATGCATCGACAAAATAAAATATTTTTTCGTCTTTTCAAGAGAATTCTTCACACCAGGAAATGCACAATACTGGTTAAGGCAGCGATAATTGAGACCGCAACATGTAGCCGAACAACAATAAATTAAAATACCCAAATATAAAACATATACGGCTCAGACTATCCTGTAATGTAGCACTGATAATCTTCGGTCACCCTAAAATTGGCAAAAAGCAGTTTTTTTAACATTGATATTTGTTGGGAAATCTTCAACTAGACACTTCTCCCAGTGTGCACTTCATTAATTCACATTTATGACCACAGCGAAACCTGTCACAAATTTTGGGCTTCCAAGACCAGTTGATCTGGATCCATGCCTGTTACGGTCCGGTAAGATTCTGCTTTGTATGCCCTACAGCTGTAGCTCTGCCATTGTCAATAACCTCAGCCATATATGTTTTATCATTGGTTGTACATGTATTATTTACGTAATAGACACAAACAAAATCTAAGATGTCCGCCTCATCTGAATGTTTGTAATGAGTGGTTCTATCACTTCCAGGAAGCCATGTTCAAATTCTTCCTCAGAAAACCGAGATATGGATTCTCGTGCATTTTTCCTTATATCCAGTCGTTCCCGCGCGGTCAGACTAAATATAGTGTCCAGGGCATGAGAATAAGACTGGACGTCTTCGGCCAGAAAACCTGTGGCCTGGTCATTATAATTGACCACTATGTCCAGTTTGGGACCTCCAGAGTTGTGTGCCAGGACCACTGTCCCTGCAGCCATTAATTCTACCACACCTGCAATAACAACAAAACAGGAACCTCCATTAATATCTTTCAATTCATATTTTTCAATAGAGAAACAATATCAAAAAGGAAGTTTTCCGAATAAAATGATACTATCAAATAGAGAGTTGTCTCCCTTGGACTGTAACTGACATCTGTTTAGTAATACATAATACAAAAAAATAAAACCATAAAAAATAGCTACCACCTGACAATGATTCCATATTCCAAATTTGTTACAGCAGAAATTTTGATTTATTTCATTTCCATACAAAAACGAAGCTGTTGAAAAAGTGTTCAGTAGATGTCAGTATTGCACTGCTTTTAGTTGGCAAATATAGGAAATAGGATAATGAATGATGCCACAAGGATTACAGGGAAAATTCAAATTAAGCAAACTTTGTTTACTGTAATGAAAACGAATGCAGTTCAATGGTGAAGAGACATGGACCCAGTCAACCGGTGAACCCTTATGCATACTTGTTGTTACTTACCGATACCGAAGTGTTCGTTCCACATGGTATGTAGTCCCACCACTGACGTGGCCATCAACTCTTTCAGTTCCTGGAAACTTACATTAAGTTTAAATTCCACATATTCTGCAATACCGAGTGTATCACACTGCTGTTTTAATCCTTCAACCAGTTCGTTATCTCCCCCATTTCTGCAGCTCCCCACCAAAACCAGTTTGTATTTGCTTCGCTCTTTTTCCGACTTCTTCAACATGAAGTGGTGAAAGGAATCTATTTGTAATGCATGGTCTTTTTCGGGTCTAAACTGTGCTATAGATACTATATTCATCGTAGGCGAGTCGATTTGTTCTCGCAGGTAGATCTTTGTGAACTCTGACGTGTCACAGGGGGGAAACAGGATGTGTGTGTGGCCGGAGGGCTGCCACAGTTGTTGTATATGGCCGTAAGTCCAGGTGGAGTTAACCATCACAGCGTGACACCGTTTCCCAGCCACTCCGTACAGGTAAGCAAAGGCTTTGTAGTACTGAAGTTTCACGGTGCTGAGGAGTCGGCTTTGCGATATAAAGGATGCGTTGTTGAAGGCCTCGGTTCTTGAAGAGACTTTCTCTAACATATCCGTACTTATTGTTGGATAGTGCACGTAGCAACACACCTTGCATCTCCCGAAATATTTAAACAGTGGAATAGTGAAAGCATATCCCATGGTGTCAATGTACACATCCGGTACAAACGCCTGCAATGCCTCCCATCCCAGGAGGATGGACCCCAGACTCTGGCCTAGCAGGGTGAACATCGGGTACTTGACAGCCTCAACCCAGCGACGACGCTTCAGGAAGACAAACTGGACATGTGACTTGAGTGTGATGTTGAAGCGCTGACGAGCACGCTCCAGGATCTGCGGACCAGTGGCGTCAGTATCTCCCGTGTACACAACACAGTTAACATTGGGGTACCTACAATTACATACAAGCTCTGATTATGATAGGGTTAAAGAATACATCAAATGGTCACACTATTAGGCACATCAAACCAGGGCAAAATAATTGCATTGGACCCCAAAATTTGTCTTAGGTCAAGAATATTATTGTTTGGTTTGGACCCGAACATTTAAAATAGTCAGCTCCAATACAAGATAGAAACAAAATGGACTAAATATTTCTGATACTGCTGATTTATTGAGGTCTTCCAAAACACTATCCCACAGCACTCTCCCAACCTCCACCCTCATCTTTACCTTTTCTGTATTGATCTGATGGCCACCCACAGCACTCTCTCCCCACCTTCACCCTCATCCTTACCTTCTCAGTACTGACCTGATGGCCACCCACACCACTCTCTCCCCATCTCCACCCTCATCCTTACCTTCTGACTAAATATTTCTGATACTGCTGATTTATTGAGGTCTTCCAAAACTCTATCCCACAGCACTCTCCCACCCTCCACCCTCATCTTTCCCTTTTCTGTATTGATCTGATTGCCACCCACAGCACTCTCTCCCCACCTTCACCCTCATCCTTACCTTCTCAGTACTGACCTGATGGCCACCCACCGCACACTCTCCCCACCTCCCCCCTCATCCTTACCTTCTCTGGATTGACCTGATGGCCACCCACACCACTCTCTCCCCATCTCCACCCTCATCCTTACCTTCTGACTAAATATTTCTGATACTGCTGATTTATTGAGGTCTTCCAAAACTCTATCCCACAGCACTCTCCCACCCTCCACCCTCATCTTTCCCTTTTCTGTATTGATCTGATTGCCACCCACAGCACTCTCTCCCCACCTTCACCCTCATCCTTACCTTCTCCGTATTGATCTGATGGCCACCCACAACACTCTCTACCCAACTCCACCCTCATCCTTACCTTTTTTGTATAGACCTGATGGCCACCCACAGTACTCTCTCCCAACCTCCACCCTCATCCTTACCTTCTCAGTCTTGACCTGATGGCCACCCACACCACTCTCTCCCCATCTCCACCCTCATCCTTACCTTCTCAGTCTTGACCTGATGGCCACCCACAACACCCTCTCCCCACCTCCACCCTCAGCCTTACCTTTTCTGTATTGACCTGATGGCCACGCACAGTACTCTCTCCCCACCTCCCCCCTCTTCCTTACCTTCTCTGTACTGTCCTGATGGCCACCCACAGCCCTCTCCCCCCACCTGCACCCTCATCCTTACCTTCTCCGTATTGATCTGATGGCCACCCACAGCCCTCTCTCCCCACCTCCCCCCTCTTCCTTACCTTCTCTGTACTGACCTGATGGCCACCCACAGAACTCTCTCCCCACCTCCCCCCTCATCCTTACCTACTCTGTATTGACCTGATGACCACCCACAACACTCTCTCCCAACCTCCACCCTCATCTTTGCCTTTTCTGTATTGATCTGATTGCCACCCACAGCACTCTCTCCCCGCCTCCACCCTCTTGCTTACCTTCTCTGTATTGACCTGATGGCCCCCCACAACCCTCTCTCCCCACCTCCACCCTCTTCCTTCCCTACTCTGTATTGACCTGATGACCACCCACAACACTCTCTCCCAACCTCCACCCTCATCCTTACCTTCTCAGTACTGACCTGATGGCCACCCACAGTACTCTCTCCCCCCCTCCACCCTCATCCTTACCTTTTCTGTACTGACCTGATGGCCACCCACCGCACACTCTCCCCACCTCCCCCCTCATCCTAACCTTCTCTGTATTGACCTGATGGCACCCCACAGCACTCTCTCCCCGCCTCCACCCTCTTGCTTACCTTCTCTGTATTGACCTGATGGCCACTCCCAGCACTCTCCCCACCTCCACCCTCATTCTTACCTTTTCTGTATTGACCTGATGGACACCCACAGTACTCTCTCCCCACCTCCCCCCTCATCCTTACCTTCTCGGGATTGACCTGAGGGCCACCCACAAAACTCTCTCCCCACCTCCACCTTCAAACTTACCTACTCTGTACTGAACTGATGGCCACCCACAACACTCTTTCCCCACCTCCACCCTCATCCCTACCTACTCTGTATTGACCTGGTGGCCACCCACAACACTCTCTCGCCACCTCCACCCTCATCCTTACCTCCTCTGTATTGACTTGATGGCCCCCCACAGCACTCTCTCCCCACCTCCACACTCATCCTTACCTACTCTGTAATGACCTGATGGCCACCCACAGTACTCTCTCCCAACCTCCACCCTCATCTTTGCCTTTTCTGTATTGATCTGATTGCCACCCACAGCACTCTCTCCCCAACTCCACCCTCATCCTTACCTTCTGACTAAATATTTCTGATACTGCTGATTTATTGAGGTCTTCCAAAACACTATCCCACAGCACTCTCCCACCCTCCACCCTCATCTTTACCTTTTCTGTATTGATCTGATGGCCACCCACAACACTCCCTCCCCACCCCCACCCTCATCCTTACCTTTTTTGTATAGACCTGATGGCCACCCCCCACCTCCACCCTCATCCCTACCTACTCTGTATTGACCTGGTGGCCACCCACAACACTCTCTCCCCAACCTCCACCCTCATCTTTGCCTTTTCTGTATTGATCTGATTGCCACCCACAGCACTCTCTCCCCACCTCCCCCCTCTTCCTTACCTTCTCTGTACTGTCCTGATGGCCACCCACAGCACACTCTCCCCCCCTCCACCCTCATCCTAACCTTCTCTGTATTGACCTGATGGCACCCCACAGCACTCTCTCCCCGCCTCCATCCCACAGCACTCTCCCAACCTCCACCCTCATCTTTGCCTTTTCTGTATTGATCTGATGGCCACCCACAGCCCTCTCTCCCCACCTCCCCCCTCATCCTTACCTACTCTGTACTGACCTGCTGGCCACCCACAACACTCTCTCCCAACCTCCACCCTCATCCTTACCTACTCTGTACTGACCGGATGGGCACCCACACCACTCTCTCCCCACCTCCTCTCTCATCCTTACCTTCTCTGTATAGACCTGATGGCCACCCACAGTACTCTCTCCCCACCTCCACCCGCATCCTTACCTTTTCTGTATTGACCTGATGGCCACGCACAGTACTCTCTCCCCACCTCCACCCTCTTCCTTCCCTACTCTGTATTGACCTGATGGACACCCACAGTACTCTCTCCCCCCCTCCACCCTCATCCTTACCTACTCTGCACTGACCTGATGGCCACCCACCGCACACTCTCCCCACCTCCCCCCTCATCCTTACCTTCTCGGGATTGACCTGATGGCCACCCACAGTACTCTCTCCCAACCTCCACCCTCTTCCTTACCTTCTCTGTACTGTCCTGATGGCCACCCACAGCACACTCTCCCCAACTCCACCCTCATCCTTACCTTTTCTGTACTGACCTGATGGTCACCCACAGCACACTCTCCCCCCCTCCACCCTCATCCTTACCTTCTTAGAATTGACATGATGGCCACCCACAACACTCTCTACCCAACTCCACCCTCATCCTTACCTTCTTAGAATTGACATGATGGCCACCCACAACACTCCCTCCCCACCCCCACCCTCATCCTTACCTTTTCTGTACTGACCTGATGGTCACCCACAGCACACTCTCCCCCCCTCCACCCTCATCCTTACCTTCTTAGAATTGACATGATGGCCACCCACAACACTCCCTCCCCACCCCCACCCTCATCCTTACCTTTTCTGTACTGACCTGATGGTCACCCACAGCACACTCTCCCCCCCTCCACCCTCATCCTTACCTTTTTTGTATAGACCTGATGGCCACCCACAGTACTCTCTCCCAACCTCCACCCTCATCCTTACCTCCTCTGTACTGCCCTGATGGCCACCCACAACACCCTCTCCCCACCTCCACCCTCAGCCTTACCTACTCTGTACTGACCGGATGGGCACCCACACCACTCTCTCCCCATCTCCACCCTCATCCTTACCTTCTTAGAATTGACATGATGGCCACCCACAACACTCCCTCCCCACCCCCACCCTCATCCTTACCTTTTCTGTATTGACCTGATGGCCACCCACAGTACTCTCTCCCCACCTCCACCCTCTTCCTTACCTTCTCTGTACTGACCTGATGGCCACCCACAGCACTCTCTCCCCACCTCCACCCTCATCCTTACCTTTTCTGTATAGACCTGATGGCCACCCACAGCACTTTCTCCCCACCTCCCCCCTCATCCTAACCTACTCTGTATTGATCTGATGGCCACCCACAACACTCTCTCCCCCCCTCCACCCTCATCCTTACCTTCTCTGTATAGACCTGATGGCCACCCACAGCACTTTCTCCCCACCTCCACCCTCATCCTAACCTTCTCTGTATTGATCTGATGGCCACCCACAACACTCTCTCCCCACCTCCGCCCTCATCCTTACCTTCTCTGTATAGACCTGATGGCCACCCACAGCACTTTCTCCCCACCTCCACCCTCATCCTAACCTACTCTGTATTGATCTGATGGCCACCCACAACACTCTCTCCCCACCTCCACCCTCATCCTTACCTACTCTGTATTGACCTGATGGCCACCCACAACACTCTCTCCCCACCTCCACCCTCATCCTTACCT